AGATTCTCTTCTTTTTTTTCCTAGCACAATTAAACTCTCTTTTCTAAAAAAAAAAATTAAATTCATTTCATATCTTATCAGAACTAGCTGCGGGACCCAAGTAGCAAAAATAAAATATTACATAAATAGTTTAAAAAATTTAAACATCCTAATTATATTTATAAAATTATTATGATCTTAATATCAATTTAAAATTTATAAGATTCCAAATTATAAACAAATTAATGTGGATCATTTGAAATTATAAAAAATGAGTCATATAATTTGTAATTTATAATTTATAAATAAACGGTGTGATCAGTTAGAGCTTTATATTATTTGTCTATTGTAACACTCCTCCTGCAATCAATCAACAAAAATCACCTAATTATATTATATATCAATATAAATAAAAGAGCAAGTGTAAAAAAAAATTAACAAAGATGAAAGGAATTATATTTCACTTAATTTAGTTTTAACATGACTGAACAATGTTTGCATATATTTTCCAGTTGTTATTTGCGCAAGTTGTAAACTTTGAGAGAATTTAATTTAGTGAAATTTAAAAATTTATATTAGATTTAAAAATAAAATGTAGGAAGGAATGCGGGAGGTTTAGTTAGGGGCAATCTCATATTTTTAAACTTATATTTTAGTATTTGGTTTTTATAAATAATTACAATTTTTATGGTCCTCTTCCATAAATATCACTCCCTCTATGTCCTTCCCTTTGGTTCTCCCTTTTTTGTTTTTTGGGTTGGGGGGGGGGGGAGAGCGGGCGTGATGTACCCTTTGTTAGTATGTATTGGATGTTAAAAAGTCGTTTGTAACTAGAAGATTAGATGTTCGATCCCACATGAAATTTCTGGCCATTATTGCTTATTCTACTAATCCAAAAACAAAAAAAAAACAAAAGAGAAGAAGAAGAAGAAGAAGAAGAAGTGCCAGTTCTTAGAATCTTCCCAAAACCTTTTTTTTTTTAACATTTAATAAATGTGAAACACAACATTTTGGCCTAAAAAATCAATACCATTAATTTTTCCCCGAAAGAATTTCTTGGCAGTTTCATGCATGGCTTCACTTTATTACAGAACAATACAAAAACCATATTATCGAATACCAAAGTTAAGAGACAAAGAATAATATAAACATAAGGTCAAAAAAATCGCTTTTCCACCATTCATTTGCTTTCGTAACTTTCCAGTGTACCTCATCATTGAAGTTCTTAATCTTTCCGAGTATATATAGCCCGACAGGCGCAGCCATTAAAGCAAAACGCGCCAATGAGTGTAAGAGAGAGATGAAGAATAACTTCAACGCACCAAGTCAATATTCATGCCTGGATGGTCAGAGGCTTCATTGAAGAGTGATGGAAGCTTCTCCTAGTTTTTTTTCTCTTCCAAGACGGTGGAGAAAAGAAGGTCGATGATGACACACCTTAGCGAGTAAGAAAGGCAAAGAATACAAGTTTCACTAGCTACGGTAGTGATCAGAATGATAAAAATACCGGCTGACATCCTTAAAAGAATTAGAAATCGATGTTGATTGTTATTTTACCAGTTTAAAACATACAAACCTTTTCAATTATCATGCTTAAACATTGGTTCTTCCAAACAATTTATCAATTCAGACCTGTCTATAATCACATAAATATCTTTATAATTCTGCATCGATCTTAAATATCATGTTCGTGTAATTTATGAAGAATTACTAAATACTAGCTACATAAAAACGAGTGAGCCGCTGCTGCATGCGACTATAATAAATTAAGTTAATATGTAACCAAGTCTATTGTGTTTTTCCCTCAGTTAATATAATAAACATGTATATTTGTTTTGTACTTCAGAATTCAGATAAAGGAATGGATAGGCTAAAAACAATGTTTTGCTGGTATAGTAACCAAATTAACAAAAATAATCAATTTTTATATAGATATTTGTTATAAGTAACTAACTTAATTAATTTTCTTAATACCTATAAAAATTATCTAGTTCTTATATCATAGACAAGGCAATAGTATAAGTACAATTATCACAAGTAAATATGCATAGCTAATCAACATAGTAGTGTTATATATAAATGACCGTAGGAGTCTGAATATCAGCAGCATGGCTTTTTCTGATATATGTGTGTATTCGATTTGACCTTTTGAATAAATCACCTCACCATGTCAGCATATTCTGCAAGCTAACTTTTGTTCCTTTTTGTGATAATGCAGCGTTAGAAAAGACAACAGCTGGCTCTTGCAAAAGACAATTGAGTTGACTACTAAAAGCAGTAAGCTTTATTCTATCAATAAAATTAATATGGCTTTCTACTGCCTTAAGTTTCTATAAAATTTTAGTACGATTCAGATTGAGCATGCTTATGAAGTTCATGTTCAAGTATGCCAAAATATTGTTTAGGGTTGATCAGAATATATATATGTATATATATGTTTGTTGATTATTTGAGAAGTTAAGTGTAACATTCCGAAATTTTGGGCTTTGAAGTATAGAAAGCGTATGACATGTTTGGTATCACATACTTTGATGAGCAGTAGCAAACATTACCATTCATGCATACAAAATAAATACAAGTATATGACATATTTGGTATCACATACTTTCATACTTTAAAATGTCATATTCATATGCTCAATATTTCAAACACACACATGGCCATGAACCAAAGAGCAAAATTTCATCAATCATGCTTTTATTCATTATCAAGTAATTTCAACACACAAGAGTGTGCACATATATATATATATATATATATATATAATTCGTTCATTAGCCCATAGACAACATCGTCTACTGATTTGATTTTCTGGATAGCAACCTAAACGACGAGATGAAATGCATGGTCAACACGTAAGTTTATTTGTGTAAAGCTTTAGTTTTTGACATCATTAAATTGTTTACTCATTTGCATTTGATGACAGCTAGGGCTAGGAGTGTTCAATTTGTCCCGTCCCGGTCGTCCCGTCCTGGTTCCGGTGAGTTCGGGACGGGACGGGACGGGACAAAAAAAAATTTCGGGACGGGACAAGTACGGGACGAGACGGGACAGTGACTGGGACTGGATGGGACGCGGGACGAGGTTGTCCCGTCCCGTCCTGTCCCGGGATATTTTTTTTAAAAAAATTATTTATTAATAATTATTATTAGATTATTCAATTTACTTATTAATAATAATTATTATTTTTATAGTGATTTTTAACTCTTAAGTTGTAATATTATCTGAACAATATCTCCTTCCTCAATAAAATAATTCATAAAGCCATTATATAGTGTTTCTTTTATTGTATTTTTTTTTACAGTATTGTTTTTACACCCTTTTTATACTATATAATTGAGCTTTCTACATAATATTTTTTATAATGTTTTTATCTTTAAAAGCTTAACAAAAAATAAGCATTATAACATAAAAAAATTTCATATAAAAAATTATAGTTTTTTTTTTTTAAAAAAAGGGAGGGGAACTGGACGTCCCGTCCCGTCCCGTCCCGGTCCCGACGGGACCGGGACAAAACCGGGACGGGACGGGACACGGGACTAAAACCCTGTCCCGTTCCTGTTCACCGGGACAGGACCGGGACGGGTCTGTCCCAGTCCCGTCCCGTCCCGTGAACACCCCTAGCTAGGGCGGTGAAGGCATGTTATTAAATGATGGGTGAAAAGGGTAAGGATCAAAATAGTATGACAACTTGGTTTAACTTAAAAGTTTAATTATGCCTGTTGGACTTCAGGTCCGCGCTTGATGGGCCGGGAGGGTATTTTGCTAGGATTTTTCTTGTGAAAAAATATAAAATAAATTCTAAGAAGTCAAAATCCCACAAAAGGAAGTGATGCATTATCTGGTATTTTGTAAATATAGTTAAATGATAAAAATATCCTTATATCAAAAAAATTTATTAACAAGTTGTGAGCTGAAAATGATAAGTGCTGACTACCAAATAATGAAAAATATACTGGCAATGGCAAGTTATTTATTAATAAGTTGTGAACTAGTAATGACAAGTGTTGAATAACTAATAACAAGAAATGTACTGGTAATGACAAGTTTGATAGTTTTTTTGCTTTTAAAAATTTCATAGAAGAACATTTTAGTTATTTGACTATATTTGCAAAATACCAGATTAGGTACGACATCCTCCCTTGGGATTTTAACCTTTTAAGTGTCTAAATTAGAATATTGCAATTTTTAACTTCTTTTTATGTCATTTTTTCTACAGTTTTCATCACGATGGAAAAATAAAAAAAAAACAAAGAACTTAATTAATTAGTAGTGCCGGAAGCATTATAAGCCGTGAAAATGATTTTCGTCAAGAAAGAATTAAATTATTAATTGGCCTTTCCATTCTATTACTATGCGCATAATGTCATTCATATTTGGCTACAAGTTTATATCCGGCCACAAAAACGTGCATGAAACAAATCATATGCAAGTGATGAATTTATATTTCCAATATCCGAAGAGATGCAAAAAAATAAAAAATCCAAAGAGATGACACAACACTAGTTGGCAAAAAAAAAGGGGACAACACTAAAATGCAATAAGAACCGACAAAATATTTAGACGTGTTAGAATTGAAGAACAGGATGCTCCTAACTGGCAAGCCAACCCAACATCACGAAAAGCATGCATCCAACCGATCCTTATTATAGGACATCTTTTATAAGAGAAGGATGATCCTTATCATAAGTCCCTTGACGGGGTATTAATTAAAATTTTCCAACATCACCCCTATTTAAAGTCATGAACTATGAGTGAGAACGCAATGCAAATATGAAATTTTTTACTTAAATACGCGCAAAATTAAAACTTTATTTTATCTTCAGACAAAGTTTATGACTTAATCACCTCTTGCCCCTTGGTTTGAGTGAGGTGCTTAGTTAGCTACATGTGGGTGATACAAATACTTCTATGGAAGGAGTATATATATTCACGTTGTATGAGGAAATGCTAGCTTAAAAAACCACAGACAGAAACCAACAACCCTAGTTCAGTAGCTACCTATTAGCTTTTGTTTGAAGATGGGATTGCATGCAAAAATTTGGCACAACGTTGGTGAGCCTGCATGCAACGTCTTCATAAACCACCGTACGGTTGATACGAGACGTACAGTGGTTCCCTTGCTCTACGAGCATCTGATGCAGAAAGGATGCAAGCCGTTCTTGGACAAAGAAAATCTGAAACCTGGAGATAGGTTGTTGAGCACAATTGATAAAGCTGTACGAGGATGTAAGGTTGGGGTTGCTGTCTTTTCGCCTCGTTATTGTGACTCTTATTTTTGTCTCCATGAGCTCTCACTTCTCCTGGAATCAAAGAAACCAATCGTTCCGATTTTCTATGATGTGAAGCCGTCGCAGCTTCGGGTTAAGGACAGTGGAATATTGAGCTGTTCCCAGAAAGATGTGAAGAGGTTTGATCTTGCTGTTGAAGAAGCTAAATGCATTGTGGGGCTGCCCTTCGACTCCTCCAAAGAGTATATCATTTATTCTTTTGCTTTTAGTTTTAGTGATGTCTTTTCATTCCCTATCCAATTATCAATGACTTTCAATCTTAAAGTTAATTACCTATTTGAGGAAGGTGTGTCAACTGCCGCAGTACGCCCTCAGCTGCCTCTTAATTTTGGGGCCTTTCTAGACGTTTTTTAAGCTTTTTTGTCTCATTAGATTCTACACGATATTCTGATATTTTATTTGAAAATATTTAATACTCTAATTTAAAAAGAATGCTGGGGGTGGGTTTATGAGTAGGGAAACTTGACACGTTAATAAATTGGCGTGAAGAGACGATTGACAATAGAACAAATAGATATTAAAGCAAAACTTTGTCTTGTACTACATGTTGAAATTTGATAATATGGTGGGGTTGATTGATTTCATTGACTGGTCGGAGCTGGTACGTGAAGCTTCAAATGCAGTGATGAGCAAATTGCATGAAGAAATCGGTGCACAAGTTAGTCCGAAAATTTGGTCCCCATGACAATGCTTCTATATTTGTGTATTCCTAAGTTCATCACTTCAATCCAGTTCAGTTTGGCTTGATTAGAAGCTTTCACTACAGCCAAATTTCTGCTAGTTCAGGGCTTTAGTTAATTAGGCTTTAAACATCAATGTGTCAATTCCTTGCGAGTAGTCCTCAAAATCAATGTTTTCTCTTCAAGTACTCAATAAGTAATATTGTACCCCACAATAAAAAGGTTGCTCTAGAAGAAGAGCATGCATTTTGTTGCCAACGTGTTTGTTTATTTTTAGATCATTGGGCGCAATCTATATCTACGAATATATACAAACTTTGAGATATGATTAAACTGGCAATAATAAAAATATTTGTGATGTTATGAGTTTTTTTTTTTTTATGACGTATAGGTATCCTCTTATTAGAGACAATCTTCTTCGAGACAATATTCTTCGATTGGAAGCAACTTTGTATGAAATTTGAAATAACCCTGTTTATAACTTATAAATAATGTGGCTTCTGTAAAATCAATGTGTATATAGTCTATAACGAATTATAAGCAGTGTAGCTTATTTCTTGAATTTCATGCAACACAAGATTTATATGTGTCTTCTTTTACTTTTTCTCATTTATGATGGCAAAGACAAACGATTTATAAGAAATTTAATATTATAGTTTGTATTGGAGTATCAAGTGTGTGTACTCGTACGCAAGACTAAACACAAGCTTCCATATTGTACGTAATAATCCAAATATTTATTTAGATTTGGGAATAATATATTCATTACTGAAAAAAATATGAATCAAATAAAGAAAAAAAGAGATATAAACATTAACATATTAATATATTTATGCTGCGCTGTTTATAAATTATATATGATTAACATGATGATCATCTTGAATATATTATATACAAATAAGAGATCATTTTTTAATGACAAATTTAGTTTTTTAAGAATTGTTAACTATAAAAATTTTTAATTTTAAATTCTAGAAAAAAATGACAAAAAAGGCCATGGAAATTGAAAAATCCCCAATTAGGATTCTTTACAACACTTCAACAAGTTTTGACAACAATTGATTTGCAAATAACAACACATTTTTGTGAGAATACCTGATTTAGGATTTTGCAATTCCAAGGTCCTGTTTTTCATTTTTCCTAAAATAGGAAAATGGCAAATAAAGATAATGCAAATTGCAAAATCCTAAATGAGGATTCGTCACAGCACTTTCACAAGTTTTGACAACACGTTTTTAATAACCATTTAAAATCAATATGAACGGTGATAACCATTTTAAATCATAATAAGAAGTGTTAACCATTTAAAACCACACCATTACGACTGAGATGGAAGTATTCATTATATCATATCATATAAAACCAAAAAAAAATTTTAATCTGCACTTTGTTTTTCATAACAAATTTCCACGGTCTTTTTAATAACCATTTATTATCAATATGAACGATCTGAATTACGGTGGGCCGGTAATGCACTCCCGGATTGAAAAGAAAAGCATAATGTAATAGCATGCACACAGTAGCATATGTGTGTGTGTGTATATATTGATAGTGTTAATTGATTTCGTTTAGTTTTTATATGATATAATATAATGAATACTTCATCTCAAAGTCGTAAAGGTATGGTTTTGGAAAGCAGGTAGGGAATGTAAATGTGAAATGTTATCGGTAACATATAGCCCGCGCCCACAGAATTGATAGACTAGTTAGGGTGGTCTTCTGCTGGTTAAAAAAAGTTAGGATGGTCTTCTTAAATGCTACTTTACGTAGTTTTAGAAAATCAGATCTATTATAGATGCTTTCTTTTGCCATATTAAAAGAACAATTTCCTGTCTCTATCAACCGCAACGATTGACCCCTTTTGTTTCTGTTACAGGGCACCGACTCATTTGTGTCATTAAACAAGCATAATAGTCTCTATCTCAAGCAGACACGTTCTAATCAACCTTTCTCCGTGTTGATTGAGAATCAAGAATTCATTGCTAAAATTAAAAGCAATATATGTAATAACTTTGAGAATTAAAAAAACACATGTGAAAACCGAACAGGGTACTCAACCCTTGCTCCACTATTACATAATTGTCGCTGTGACTGTTATTTTTGCTCATACTTGATTATTCAAAACTGTCAACTATAGACATGTCATATATTATCTGGGCAGAATATTTGCCAGTTATGAGTCATCAAATATTGTGTATCATATATAACAGTTCTATGATCGAAGCTGTCATTTATTTATGGCTTCTGGTAAGGCCATGTGACTTGTATGGATATCCTTACTTGATGGTGTTTCTTTAATAATAGTCAAGTGTAGTATTATACTTGACCCTTGTGAGTTGTAACCGTCACATATTTGGTTTATAATATTTGTCGATTGTATCAAATAACTGTTAAGTAAGTCTGTGAGATTTTTTTTTTAAATAAGGAGTAGCCCCCGCATTGCAATAACAGAAACCAGCATACAGCAAGAGTTGCACTAATATATATTTGCATAGATAAGATTTTTATCTCTGGCACTTTATACATTCATGATGTTAACTACAAGAGTTACACTAATATTTCATATTTTGTTCTAATCATCCTGCTGTTTGGCATAAAATGTGAAGCCATTGATGATATAGCTTGTGTAAGAAAGTACCTATCTGCACAAACCATTCAGCAAGAACTTTAAATTCTCAAAAATTAAACTAAATAAGAATCAACATTATACTTGCCATGCATGTGTTCAACCATGCTTGTAAAGTGTTCATGATTTAATTTGGCATACCAACTTTCTAGTCTATTGGGTTATCCCTCCTGAGCTCATTTATATGCTTGTCTACATAGTGTTCAAATTTCTCAGAGTTGGGCAGTATATATAGGTGTGCTTGCTCCCACTATTGATATGAAATGGTAACAATTTTCTTTTTGATCATCCCTTCTTTGTCTATTCTACGCTCATGCTGAGGCTCTAGAAGCCCAATAACCCTGGCATTTTTTAAGTATTTAGCAGCAAATTCAGTAACCTCTTCATATACATATTGTTCAACATTGTAATCCTCTGGCCAACTCTACCCTTTCAATATCTTCACATAATGTTCAACTGGGTAAATCCATCTTAAATAGGTCGGGTCACATAGTTGTACCTCTCACTACTATGAAAAGTTAGATAAGTAGCACATGTTTTGTAGCACTTATTTAACTAAATACTACAACTTCTATATATATATATATATATATATATTATTTTTTTAAAATATTAAATAGCCGAAGTGATTCTTTAAGGAAGGACTGCAAAAGAATAAGTGCCTTTTGTAGCACTTTTTTCACAAGAGCTATAGCTTCCATATATTATTTTTTGAAAATATTAAATAGATGTAGTGCTTTCTCAAAAAAAGCGCTGCACAAGTTTTTATATATATATATATATATATATATATAGGGAAAATGACAGTTAAAGACCCTGCAAGTTGTATAATCCTAGAAAAGATACTCCAATTCACTTAATTCCAATGAGAGAGAGAAACCTAATTTGGAATGATGAAATCATAGGAAAAAGACCAAAACACCCTCCGTGATTTTAAAAGGAAGAACCAGGAGAGGAACAAGACTTCCAGTTTCAGATTCATAGCTTTCATCATTTCAGCACTTTCTTACACATACAGAAGTGCTATGAGTTAGGAGAATTGTTAATTAAATCCCATAAAGTAAAATTTGAATTTTAGTCTTGGGTTACTATACATTTACTACTTCTAGATTTTTTGTCCACATTGAAAAGTTCATAATTAATTATAGAAAAATCATATAAGAGTGTTCTAAAATTCTTATGAAACCTCTACAATTCTTTTACATGAAAAGACCATTTCTTAACACAAAATTATAAAACAATTTTTAAGAAGGTAACCATGGTAGAAAAAGAGGTAGACAAAAGTAGCAAAACATTACTATCATTATAAAGAGTTTATCTTATGTTGAAAACATCTCAAAAAACTTAGGATGCACATAAGTTTAACAACAAGTACAATAAAAACCTAGGGTACACATAAGTTTAACAGCAAGTACAGTAAGGACCTAGGGCACAGTAATCGCCCAGAATGTCAAGATAAACATTCATCCCATAAAGACTTAAGGCACAAGAAATAAAAGGTGCTCAGCCCAACCCACAAGTTATATACATATTTAATTCATAATGGTAACATGTATAATAATGTCTTATAGCCTCTAGTCATTCTAACAGTACTTCATCAAATACAGTCATCTAAACCAAACAAAAGTAAGTATATTTCAACAAAAACATAAGTCTTGAGAAGATGGTAATATACATAACATTACATACCCAAACCAAAAGAGGACTACTAGGCTATACTCGCCTATGCCTCTAGTTGTTTCCCTTCGCGTTGAGCCAAACTAGATGGCTTTTCTAAAAAAGCATTGGTGAATAATGGGGTGAGACAATTAAGTTCTAGTAACCAGCAATCAATTTACGACATATGCAATTTAGGAGGATAAGTTGATGAAGTGGATCTTATACATAAAATTTTAAGTGGTAAAATATGCAACTACAGATGCAACACACATAACCATATAAATGCCCATCTGGTTCACCATACTCCTCCTTATAACCTCATGACAAGTATCCGGACTTTCTGTATTGAATAACTTGGCCAAAGGTCACCCTACTCATATCAAGGTAAC